TGACGTGCAGAAGCCTGGCATCCCTGTATATTGAATCAGCAGAAGCCGGAAGAAACCCACGAGAAGTCGGGACATCTGCCCAACAACAGGGACCTTGGTATTTTCTGGGCTTCTTGTTGCTTGGGGAGTCAGGTGAAATCTACTGAGACAAGCACCCTTGGTATTTACAGACCACAGAGAACTGCTGCTCACTCCAAGAGTCTCAAGAATTACATGCCCTTTAAAAGTTCAGGTCAAATCTTGTTAACCAGGAAGCTCCAGGGTATGTTCAGATACTTTGTGGCCCTGGAGTCTCATGGACACTGAATATAACATGAGAAAGCAGTGGACAACTGCCCAAGACGTGGAAGTCTTTGCTAGCTAACAGATTCCTGCAGTAATGTGATTGGAACTGAGTCTGTATGTAATACAATTATCAGTTTGTCCTGCAGGCGCTTCTAAATAATAGGTTTTTAATATAGCTACAGGTATGCCACAGAATATACACAGTTGTGGAAAACATGTTTTTGACGATGGGGCTATTCAGAGAAAATACAAATTAGGATTAACAATGAGAGTTTAGATATAATGTAGGAAACTCAGGACTCTCTTATCTTCCTGATACCCACGAATAAATATTAATTTTAACTCATTTAAATGTCTTTCATTTACCGCATGCTAATCACTAAGTAGGTCCTAAGAACATGATGAACAAGAGGGATGAGAGTTGCAGAGAGACAGAGTAAACAAATGTATAAAGTAATTACAGGTCAGGAAGAAGCACTGGCAGTTGGGGGGCGCTGCTTCACACGTGGGGGGGTCACTGAAAAGCTCTCTGAGGGGCTGACATTTAGGCTGAGACCTGAAGGTGGAAGGAGGTACCAGCTTGAGAAGAGGCAGGACAAAGGGAGAAGCAAAGACTATGAGGCAGAAAGTTAAGGCACAGCAGCAGGAGAGGAAGGAGGAGAAGTGGGGGTGGGTGGGGAGTGGGGGGTGGGTCTGAGATCCCACAAAACGACGCAGCACAAGGGAAGGAATAAAATACGCGTATGCGGAGGGCTAGTGGTAGAAACAGTCCTCACAGAGGAAAAAGGGAAGGTTCTCTCGCAACTCTCCATGCCAGGACCTGTGAAAGCAGCTTTCACGTGTGTGATATCTATGTCACTGAATTCTGAAATGTGTAATTCCTCACACACCCACAGGTTGAGATGTGCACCTCAAAAAACAGAACACCAGAAAGGAAGAAAAGAAAGCTGGAGAAGTGAGGCTCTGTGTCTGCAGTCAGAGAACCCGAAGCAGCCTGGCTCTAAAGTCCACGCTCCCCCATCTTTTGTTCGGAATATAATTTAACAACAGTTGCTCCCAAACTTAACTTGGCCTCCCAGTGCCTCTGCTTTGCTCCTGTTCCTGGAAATGCCCTGTATGTCCCTTTTTGAGGTGCAGCTCGGGTTCGGCCTCATCCACAAAACTGCTCAGGGTGACTCGGGGTGCAGATGGCTCCCCTGCACCCTGGATTCGTCCAGCCCTCAGCAGCAGTAGCAGTGCTCCCTGGGCCCCTTGCCTCGACACTTGAACCTGTGCTCACACCAAGCTGGTGTCAAGCTTATAGTGCCTGCACAAAGCATATGCCTAAGAAACACGTGCCACATGATGGGATTCTTTTTGGTGAATCTTGGTCAACTGTAAACCGGTGCACGTCTGCACAGTGCCCATGGCAGTCTGAAGTCTCCAGGGATAGCGGTGGCTCTGAGACACTCAGACTGTCAATACCTGATCCCCCTTCTCTTGGTCAATTTATTTAAGGTGTTTTTGTTGCAGGCCTGGCACAACATATGAGATATTTATTCCTTACAGATCTGACAGTCAACGTTATCAAGAGAAACAAGGATTCAATTCGGGTCAACAAATATTTGCTGAATTCCCAGTAGGTGCAGGACATTCAAGTTTAAAGGGAGTAGGGTGGAGAGAGGCAATGAATGGCTTGTGACTTACGGGAGAAGACTGCATGAAGGAGAGACAGGAGAGAGGTTGTTTGTTCCAAGTCCCTTTATACCTGGGAGGCAGCTTCATCTGGCAGGAGGAGCCTGAGTGCTGGCAGAGCGCACTGCTCACAAATGCACCTCTCACCCCCCAGCCCGCCCTGGCTCTCTGAGCAACACCGAGGCTGCTGAGCACTAATAGCCTTGGAATGTTTGCCAGTGCCGGCTGAACGGCCTTGGCATCAAGAAGACAGATGTTTGTCAGGGAATGGCAGGGCCCCGCGCCTGTGGCACATGGAAGCACTGGGAATGCTGGGGAGAATGGCTGCAGCCATCACTCTCCGTCAGGGCTAATCAATTTCATACCCTCTTCAATGCTGATAATAGATAATCTTGTGGGAAGCAAGCCAAGTTTCCGAACAGCACCATGCAAGCTGCTCCCTGATGCCCAACAGCTTACTCTGGTCTCTCTTAAAAAACAAAACAAAACCCCCTCAACAAAAAAGAAAAAACAACAACAAGCAAAAACCAAAGCTTATTCCAGCTTCACCTCAGACAAAGCACCTGATGGGGCCAATGCTCTGGTCTGCTAGGACAGCTTCTTCTGGGTTATCTGGGAAGGAGGATGCTCTTAGGAACAGGGTAGCCTGGCTTACTTAAGAGTTACCCAGGAATTTTAAAGGAAGCTAGGAAAACCTAGTAACAGCAGCAGCTAAGTGCTGAGCAAGGTACTGACACACATTATGCTTGGTCTTCATAACAGCACTGAAAGGGAGGTGTTACATCCATTTTACAGATGAGAACATCAAGGCTCAGAGAGGGGACTTCCCTGTAAGTCCAGTGGTTAAGAAGCTGCCTGCCAACATAGGGGACACGGGTTTGAACCTGGTTCGGGAAGATCCCACATGCTGCAGAGCAACTGAGCCTCTTGAGTCCGAGCTCTGCAACAAGAGAAGCCGCTACAATGAGAAGGCCTCACACTGCAACAAAGAGTAGCCCCAGCTCACCACAACTAGCCTGTGCGCAGCAATGAAGACACAGCTCAGCCTCCCCCCTCCGCAAAAAAAAAGCTGGGGGGAAGTCATTTGCCCAAGGTCTCAGACCTAGGAAGCAGCAGAGCTCAAGTTCAAATCCAGGCTTACCTGGCTCCCTATGCCTTACGCTCACCTTTCCAGTAGGCTGCAGCTCGTCTATACAGAAGACAGCAGCTGATCAGCCTCTTATTGTGCTTTTCATTTATTCCATTTTCAAAAAATGGCAGAATTACCAAAGTATGTTCACCTGAACCTGAGGGAAAACATCAAGTTAACATTTCATTAATGTTAATGAAAACATTAACTTGAGAGACCCCTTTGCTGAAGCCACGTTATAGCTAAGAACCCAAGCTACATGAGGCGTGGTGACAAGGTGCGGCAAGTGGTGATTCTGAGGTAGGTGCCTGCACGCAAATCCCAGTTCCCGGACTCTCAGGTGTTCCTGCTACCAGCCTTGAAAAATCTCCTTCAACAGATAACTTGGGGGATGCCATCAAAGCTGGAGTTCTAGTTGTCCTGGGGCTGTCTCCCTACAAAATTCTAGGGAAAGTTCAATCTGTTTCTAATTACTGTTCAGTCTAAGAAAAAGAATACATTACTCTGGCATTTTAACAATCACTAAGTATCGACCATGTACACGCTGCTATAAAGGGAAGAAATGATAGAAGAGGAAAGTTTAAGCCAAGAATAAAATAGAGGGGGTGATGTGTGTGGAATGAAAGGACTGTGTGTAGAATATGCTGGTATCTGAAGTCCAGACTCAGAATTCAGAGTCTCTGCCACTTATCTTGTGTCTCATCATATAAAAGAAGACAGGCCCAGTCAATCAATCCAATCAATCAACAAACATCTGAGGACTCACCAGGTCTAGAGAGCACAAGGAAACCACAAGAATGATACACATGGTTACTGTCTTCTGCTACTTATAAATGAAGGTGTATTTTGTGAAAGGGAATGGGTAGCTAAGAAGGACACAGACAACAAGGTAACTGTCTTCCCTAGTCGCTCACCCTGGCCTGAGGCACAGCTGGAGGGAAGATGCTTGTGTGATTCCCAGTGCACACAGCTCTGCCTCACGGCTGGCTTGCCCCAACAACACAGAAGGGAGGGCTGCGGAGGCGCGCTCTCCCACCAGTGAGGCTCCAAAGCCTCAAGTGTGTCTTTAAGGCAAGAAGAGTGAAAAAAGAGAGTGATACAGCAAACCGAGATCACAAAGAAAACGACTCTGAAAAGAGCAAGAAAAGGATCATTTTGTAACCTGACCAAAGACAGAGGAATGTCTTGTAGGGAAGAGAATACAAATCAGATGTTAACCAATAGACAGGAAAACCTGCCCTGATTACAGAGACAGAAGAGAAAGCAACCGAAGCCAGAGACGGCAGAGAATAAAATAGAAGGAGGTGAAAATACAGGAGGTAGCGTAACATCCGAGGTAAGTCCGGCCTCGCAAGAAAGACAGCTAGCAGCTTTCATCTCTCCCAGCAACCACTGCATCAGACAGTGCGGCTCAGTCACTGTGACCCGGTGTGGGGGCCGGGCTCAGAGCTCTGAGTCCCCTTCTCTAGGTGTCCAGGTTCCACCTGCAAATACGGGAACTGGATTCGATGACCTCCCGGTTTCCTTCCGGTGCCTCCCTATGACCACTGAAGCCAGCAAGTGTGTGTGCCAAGACACACTCTGCCAGTGGGGTACCAAGTCACAGCACTGTGCCTTGGTCAGGTTTTCAAGGAGGAGCTCTTGTCAGGGGTACCTGTGCACCCACCCAGACTCCCAGGTCAGCCCTGGCTTGACCGTATACATCCGCCCTCTTCAGGGACTTCACTCCTGTTAGAAGAGCAGCTATAATCGCTGGCAGACCATCCCCTGCTCAGGAGGACATGCTAGTTGGCACACGAGGGCAGACGGCACCTTTGTCCTGGTCTGTCCAGTGGGGAGATACGGGTGCACAAGGGACCCAAATGGAGTGCAAGTCAAGAAGAGCTGGCAAGAGACAGGCAGGGATACATACGTGTTTTTCCCCTTCAATCTTCTTGTCGGCCACCTGCACTGCATCCAGATACTTAAAATGCAATTCCATCAGCCTGTCAACCTGAAAGAGAGGTATTTCACAGGCATGAGTGAGAAGGGAAGAGAATACCAGGGCAGGAGAATAGCGGAGCTCCTATTCATCTCACTGTCGCTCCCCACAAAGGGAGAGCCCCTCTGCCGCTTCTCACTCTGGATCAGAGCTTTGCCTTGAACACACCAGCAATGGATCACACAGCTGGGGCAGAATAAAGCAAACGCTTAGCATGGATACTGAACACAGGTCCATTACCGAAGGACACCATGTGTTCCCAGCCCTCCTAAGACTCCCCTGAATTCAAGCTGTTAAAAACAAACAAATCAATAAAAATTCAAGTCCCTTCTTGCAAAGAAGAGGAGCTTGAAGTTACATACTTGATATTCACTCAGAACTTTACTGAAACTTCTTTTTTTCAAACTGAAACCTTTCATGTTCGGATTCTGCCCCAGAGCTGATCTTTTTTTAAAAAAGGTCTGAGTAAAATCTCTTTAGTTGCTTTTGAGTGAGAACAAAGTGCAAGAAAAACTCCTTCAGCAACTTAAAAAAAGCCCTGACTTTTGCTTGGCAGTAACCTAAAAACCAGTTTCAAACTTCGCAAAAGTCGCTTCAAATATGCCCAAGGAACACTCAGTAGGTTTGAAAAAGTTTCTATTTTTTTTCCCCTTAGACTTCCAAGAGATTGAAGGAAGACTGTGAAGCTAGCCTAGACTTCTTACCTCTTTTTACTGGGTTGGCACCACCACGGTTGTTGGTAACCCTGGAATTTACCCAGTGTGTGCTGTGTATGTGTGTGTGTGTGCATGTGTGTCCATGTGCATGTGCGAGCACTCCATCACTTAGCTGTGTCCAACTCTTTGCGACCCCATGGTCTGTAGACCACCAGGCTCCTCTGTCCATGGGATTCTCCTGGCAAGAATACTGGAGTGGGTTGCCATTTCCTCCTCCAGGGGATCTTCCTGCCCAGGGACTGAAACAGCATCTCTTGTGTCTCCTGTATTGGCAGGTGGATTCTTTATCATTGAGCCACCTGGGAAGCCTGTTTACCCATGGGCTGGTATTAATAATAGATGTTGCTTCAACATGGCATCAGACAGGAGACTGTGCCCACACCTTCCCTGGTTAACAAGGAAGACCCTGAAATCTTACAGGTTTCAGTTTACAAAGTATTCTCATATCCACTATTTCCTTAAACATTAGAAAAACCTGATAAGGTAGGCAGGGAAGATAGAGAGCAATCCTAATTTTAAAGATGAGGAAACTAACACATAGACATTAGATGATGTCACCAGGGTGACACGACTGCTAAGATGTTCTCTGTCCTAATCTGATGGCCTTTTTTTTTTTTTTCAGACAACAGTTGCATTTATTTCTGTTACTTATGTGGAAGCAAATGGTTTCACTGCATGTTACGAATTTTTAAAGCACTGACTTAGTCTTTCCCTCCTCGCCCTAATGATCCGTAATGGTACATTAGTGCGTACAGAAGTGGTTTCAAAATATTTGGGGTTGGGGAAATTGCATTTGGAAATGAGAGGCAAGACAGCCAGAAAACCCTCTGAGACCCAGAGCAATGGGGCCCAGATGCTGGCAAAGACATTTTAGGGCAGGATCACTCTACCGAGCACTCGTCAGATCGCACTGGGGACAGCCCTTTTCTCCCATTGGGTCCTGGCCCCATCTTACAGCCCACCAAGCGCCTACCTTCTCACTGTCATTTTCAGTGAATTTATTCAGAAGCCGGGTCCGCTGCTGCCCTCTCAGGTTCCGCAGGAGGGAAGCGAGGATCGAACAGACATGCTCTGGGTTGGGAAGGAGAAAAGAGAACATGCTGTGATCAGAGCAGTAATTATTACCTCTCTTCAAGCCTGATCTGGTTCTATTGAAGGAGGAATAAGTAGGCCTTCCCTGACTGCTGCTATTGATTAATAAGACAAGAACCTAAACTGTGTCAATGGAAAACTAAACTGATTTTCACAGACAGCGCAAGAAATATATTCAAAGGGGATTACATCCCCAAGGACAACTTGAGCAACTGATTCAAAACTAAGTTAGAATTTCTGTTCTGCCTGGAATTAATTGAGTTCTATTGTCCACAACAGAACCTCAAACTAATCCCCCCATTTACAGAAATAACCTATGAACAGTGTATGAATACTAACCATGAGGGGAGCACGCGATGAACAAATAAGACACGTTCTATCATATTCTCAAATTATCTTAAAACTTTCCCGAGCAAATATCCCAGAATTAAATCAGGAATATGATGGGGTCCCAGAGCTATCACTTATATTCTGGTGCAGCTATAACCCTTACCTGTTTAAAGACAACTGGATAGTAAGTACTTCAAAATGATAACTGCTTTTTTTTCAGTTCATATAACCTATGGGCTTCTATTATGAGATACTATTATTCTAGCCTGGGCAGAAGAAGGTGATTGAAGGGTATATTACAGGTTTCATCTGTTAAGAGGTTCTTTTCTTTAAAAATAGTTTTTAAAAATCAAGAATAATGACCTTGAAAAGGAGATGACAGAGAAACGTTTATTTTTAAATAAAATACCTACAGTGTGGGCAACATATTCTGTTTTGAAAACTGAGCGAAGAACACATTCATATGCCAAAGTTACTTTGAGTTCTCAAAAAGTCATCTGATTAGTAAAGTCACAAGCGAGAATTCTTATGGTAGCACAGATACAATTTTGTATTTGTTTTTTTTCCGTCACTTATATCAGAAGCATTCCTCACTACTTCATTTCCCCAATCTCCTAGTGCTAGAGTTATTCACCTTCTTCGAGCTACATTCACCTTCCTGGGCATCCCATCTAGTCCCATAGCTTTAAAGACCAGTTGCATGTGTGTGTGCCCAGTTGTGTCCAACTTCCTGTGACCCCACAAACTATAGCCTGCCAGGCTCCTCTGTCCATGGGATTTTCCTAGGCAATAATACTGGAGTGGATTGCCACTTCCTACTCCAGGGGATCTTCCGGACTCAGGATTGAGCCCGCCTCTCTTATGTCTCTTGCATTGGCAGGCGGATTCTTTACCACTGCGCCACTTACGTGCTGACTACTCCCAAACTCTACAGGTCAGTTCTGTTCTCTGAATACAGGTTCATGCATTCATCTGTCTACCTGCTCTCTCCACTTGGTTGTCTAACAGGTCCTTTAAACTGAACATGTCCAAAACCAAGCTCCTGACCTTTCTCCTTAGACCTGTGCCCACAGTCTTACCCACTGAGTTAATGGCAACCATGCTCTCCAGTTTCTCAAGTGAAACACAGTGGTGATACCCCTGATTCTCCCCTTTCTCACATGTCCTGCAGAAACCTTGTCAGCTGTACCTTCAAATTACATCCAGAACTCCATCTCTTCTCACTGCTGGCCGCCCACCCCTTCATAACTCTGGCGCACAGCACCATCATCTCTTGCTGGGAATACTCAACAACAGCCTGCTTGTGGGACTCTGCGTCCACCCTTGCCCCGTTCGCCTTGATCTCCATAGAACGATCAGTTAAAACAAAGTCACACTCTATCATTGCTCTGTGTAAACCCTCTACTGGGCCCCAACTCACTCAGACTAAATGCTGTTTTCTAATGTCAGACATACTCCTGTCCTGGGGCCTCTGTGCTTACTGTTTTCCCTGCATGAGATACTCCTCACCAGAATATCTGCATGGCTCAGTCCTCAGATCCAGTCCTCCTCAACTGTCCTCTTCTCAATGAGGCTTTTCTTTGACCACCCTATTTAAAAACGAAAAGCCCCAATGCTGCCTATTTCCAAGCCTTATCTGCTTTATTTTTCTCTTCAGCATGCATTATCTTCTAACATGCTGTGCAATTTATTTGTCTTTTTACTGCTGCCCTTCAACTAGAATATAAGCTCCCTGAAGGAAGGGATTTTAGTCTGCTTTGTTCATTGATATATCCTTGGCCCCACAACAATGCCTGGCACATAGTAGGTGTTTCAGAAATACTTGCTGAATGAATGGGAAGAAGGCAGGTTTTCAGTGCAAATTTTTGGTAGTGGTGGGAGGTGGGGAGAACCAAACAAACCACTCTTGAATTCTGGGTATTTTTCAAATGCCTTTGTATAGCTTTTACCTTTTGGACACAGTGCCTATTCCAAGTTCAGAGTAAGAGCACCTCTGCATTGGTAATATACTCATCAGTTACAAAATGGTCCTTAAAGATATTTTGCATTTGGGAATGAGTGGATGACTTTTTCCTAGGGAGCCATGAGTTTGAATAAAAGATCTCTCTAATCAGTAGATTCACTTTTTTAAGTATAAAGTTTTTCGTAAAATATGCTGTAGAGAGAAGTATTAAACAGCTTCTCAAGGTGACTCCAGGGTCACCCCAATATCTTTCTGCTAACTTTTGTCATGAAGTTGGGATTGAGGTGCTTTAATCTCCATCCTGAACAAAAGGAAGGGGAAGGGAACAGGAGTGGGGCAAGATGAGAAAAAACATCCTGAACCTAAGGTAAGGACAGTGAACCAAGACGGCTCAGCTCAGGGTGACAAAGTAGAACAAGAAACGATGTCTTTGGAGGCTCATGGCAGGGAAAAAAACCACAAACAACTTCTGTGTATGTCAAGGGGAAAAGATTAGAGGAAGGAAGATGGGGCGGGGCCGGGGGGGGTATAATCAGTTCTGTAATCTTGGGCCAAACAACCGGATGTGGCTCTGATCTCTTCAGCTGGTGAACAGATGTGGGACAGGTCATAATAAAAGCAGTGAATTTTAACAAGCTTAGTTCTGAAACTTTGAAATTACTCAGCGTGACAACTGGTAACAACCTCCATGTATGTGTGTATGTATGACAATCTGACAACCATGAGGAAGGAAAAAAAAGATCAGCCAGAGAGAGCTCACAGATTATCTGGGCCAAATCTCTTATTGTACTGGTAGAAAAATCGAGGCCCAGAGAAGTGACTTGTCCACACGGCTAACTGGTGAAAGAGGTAGAACTCCAACTTCAGATGACTCACTCCGTCATTCACTGACCACTTCTCTCTGTGCTTGACAAGCACTTGGTGATCAGAGCTTCCAAACAACACAGCATCCCTAACCTCAAGGAGGTGCTTATTTCGTGGGGAAAACAAAACAAGAACTACAGTGCACTGCGCCAAGCTTCATTGCTAAGGCGGGCAGAGGGGATGTGAGGAGCGCAGGTGAGGCATAGCGGACCTAGAGGGATTCCCACTGGAGGTAAGGACAACTGAAAATCACAAAAGCAAACGCAACAAAAAAGTCAAGGCTGACAACTAGGCAGAGAAGATAGAGCACTCAGGAAGAAGGAGCAATACACGCAAAGGCCAGTTTGGATGGAGTGCTATATACACACGAGGGAGGCGAGGCCAGTCAGGTGGGGAAGAGTCTGGAGCAAAAAGTCACAAAAATCCACAAGTGAATTTTAAGCTGGAGACAGACAATATGAGATGAGTTTAGCTCAATCCTTGGCTGCTAGATTCCTTTCAGAGACCAAGATCAGGAAAATATTTCTCTTTCCTGGTGAATTTTTTATTTACCTGAGTTCCTGCTTTGCTTTGGCTACCAGGAAGCTCAAAGATGAGTCTATGCTCAACCACAGGAATCAATTTTTCACAATTCTTTACTATTGATTCCTTCTGTCCTCCACCAATGAATTTTTAAAATCAAAGCAATGGATGCATCATTAATGATTATATAGTTATGGTTAAAAACCAAACTATACAAAAAGGTATAAATGTCCTTAACAATTACTCACTGAGCATGTACTAATACATTTCCCCACCTACTCCTCTCACTACCCCGTTCATCTCTTCCAAATGACAAAAAACTACTAAGTATTGTGAGTATATTTACAGGGGAGGGGAAAAAATGTATATACATACATACATACACACACACAGGTCTTCTCCTCTATACCTTTCCATATCAACACACTTTTTACTTTAAATGGTTATGCAGAATTTCACTTAACTTATTTATCATAATTTAACTAATGTCCCCAGTCGTGGTTATTTTACATGGTTTCCAGTTTTGGGTTGTTTCGTCTTTGCTGTTAGAAATAATGCCACAGTGAACATCCATGAGCACATATTCTGACACTTACACCTTTATTTCTGGCATGGAACACTTTTGCATGGACCTAGCACTGGCTGTGGGTGAGTCAAAAGTTACTGAGATACATAATGTTGAAAAACTAAAAGAAAGCACAGATGGACTGACCTAGGGCCCTTGCTATTACAGCAGGAAGAGACATCACTTCTACATGCACAGGGGTGCGGTGGGGGCTGGGTGGAGGAAGGGGATACTGAAGACAGAAACCTACTGGTCTGTTTTTACTGTATATATTGTTTCCTAGAAGCTGGAGATAACTTGGTTTACAAAATAGTTCAAAAAGAAGCCCAAACTATTACCAGGCCAATTCAACTGAGGTATATAGATTTGCCTATATTAAATAAAGGACAGAAACTCAGAAAAAAAAATTTTTTTTTGAAAGACACTGACAAATGGTCTTCCAAGAAGGCTGTACCAATTGACTTTCACTCTCAGTATGTGTATGTATGTATATGTATGCATTGTATACATATAAAAAACTTACATTTTGGAGTCAGACAGCATGGTTTAAATCTAAGTGCCTACCACTTGCTCAAGAACCTGACATTAAGTAAGTTAACTAATCAGTATGTGCATGTAGGTATGTGCTGTGTAACATGAACATACACATATATCACATATACACACTGAGAGTGGAAACATGCTTTTATATACATATTGTAAAAGAGTATCAGTTTTCTCATATCCTCTCTCATA